ATGTCCTAACTCGCGGGTGCATAGGTCCTAACTCCCAGGTGCTCATGGCCTGACTCGCAGGTGCATAGGTCCTAACTCCCAGGTGCTCATGGCCTAACTCGCAGGTGCTCTGTGGTTTGTGTCAGTCCTTCAATGCACCCGAGTTTCTTCCTCTTTTTAATTCTTTGCTTTTCTGATACATTTCTGGTTGTACGATATTCTATTTTGAAGCTCTAATCTCTCATCACTTTCTTTTGTTTGTGTGTGTGTATGTGTGTGTGTTCGTGTATGTGTGGAGGCCAGAGGTTGATACTGGACGACTTCCTCAGGCACTTTTTACCCATTTTGTGTTTGTTTTATAGTAGATCTCTTTTTAAAAAAATATTTTTATTTATTTATTTTTCTTTATGTGCTTTGGTGTTTTGCATGCATGTGTGTCTGTCCAAGGGTGTTGGATCCCCAGGAGCTGGATTCACAGACAGTTGTTAGCTACCATGTGGGTTCTGAGAATTGAACCCAGAGCCTCTAAAAGAGCAACCAGTACTCTTAACCACTGAGCCATCACTTCAGCTCTTAGATCTCTTTTTTCTTTTCTTTTTTATGTAATTTGTTTATTTATTTATTTTGTTTGTATCATGTTTTGCCTGCACGTGTGTCTGTGTGAGGACGTGAGATCCCCAGGAGCTGGATTCACAGACAGTTGTGAGCTGCCGTGTGGGTGCACGGAATTAACCCTGGGTCTTCTGGGAGAGCAGTCAGTGCTCTTAACTGCTGAGGCATCTCTCTGGCCCCTAGATTTATCCTCAAAGGGCAGAACTCCTCGACACTCCAGCCAGTGTTCTCTGTGTCCCCTCAGTGGGTAAGGGAAGGTCTCCCCACTCTATTCCTGTGCAGACTTCTTATCCGAAGTGTCATGTGCAACTCCTTCCTTATGGACACATTAACTTCTCTCTGAAGTCTGGAATTTCAAACTGAAATTCTTATCCCATGGCTACAGTAGGCTCAAACTTGGTCCAGACTGTCTGAGCCCCGGTCTGTAGTAAATGCCGGGTGACTGAGAGTTTCCTGGGCTGGTCTTGGCATTCCAAGACATGGAACTCAGTCCCTGATTCCCTCTGATGTCAAAGAAGTGCATCCCTGTCCTGGGAGTAAAATTGTGTGACCCTCAATGGCACCTGTACAAGTGCCAGAGCCTGGCTGTGTGAGCCTCTTCCTGCAGAGGCACAAAATGATGCTGATCGGCTGGGCCAGGGCCAACGTGGAAGCAGGGGCAGCAGCAAGGAGGCAGAGGCACATAAACTGCCGTGGCTGAGCCATCCCAGGATGGACTTTATATTTGAGACAAGGGCTCTCACTGGCCTGGACCTGGCCAGTGAGCTCAGGCATCCCCTGCCTCTGCCTACCCAGTGCTGGTGTTCTAGGCAGATGCCTCTGAGCTTTTTCTGGCTGCTGAAGATCTGAACCCAGGTCCGTGCTCCTCGCACAGCAGGCGTTTTACCAACCGAGGCATCACCCAGCCCCTCTCATCATTGTCTAGTAATTCATGGGGTGCAGGTTCCACCTTAAACATTGCCAAAAAAAAGGACCAAAAAAACCTTAGTTACCATTTTGGGGATGGCTGTGTTGTGTTTGCCCGTCCTCTGTTCTGTTGTTTGTCTCTAACAGTTCAGAGGGTATCTCACGGGGCCTTCATTTCACAGTTCTATTTTTGCTCTTTGCTTTGTAAAACACAGTGAAGGTGATTTTCTTCAGTTAGGTCTTAGACTTCATACGCAGTCCCGTTGGCTAGTGGCACCTCAGTCTCAGTTTTCATTTACAGGGAACTCCAGTTTTGAGCCTTAATGTTGGGAGTAAAAACAATGCAGACAAAAGCAGCATAAGGGAGAAAGAGGTGTATTTTAGATCACAGTTCCAGGTTACAGTGTATCATGGTGGGGAAGTTAAGGCAGGAGCTCAGAACAGTCACATCCCATTCATAGTCACAGACAGAGAAACAAATGCAGACATGCTCGCTTGCCTATGCTCAAGTTGACTTCTCCACTGTTAGGCAGTTCATGAGCCCCTTGCTTAGGGAATGGTGCCGCCCACAGTGGGCTGAGCCCCTTGCCTAGGGAATGGTGCCGCCCACAGTGGGTTGAGCCCCTGCCTAGGGAATGGTGCCACCCACAATGGGCTGAGCCCCTGCCTAGGAAATGGTGCCGCCCACAGTGGGCTGAGCCCCTTGCCTAGGGAATGGTGCCGCCCACAGTGAGCTGGGCCCCTGCCTAGGAAATGGTGCCGCCCACAGTGGGCTAGGTAACTTAATTAAGACATGCCCACAGACCAACCCAGTGTAGACAATCTCTCACTGAGACTCTTAGGTGATTCTAGGTGATTCTAGGACAACGAAAACCAGTCAACACAGTGGGCTGGGGTGGTTCCATTTTGAAATTTCATGAGCATTTTTTTCCCATAAGTTGTGAGTCCAGAGTACCTGTGTAATAAAAGTGTTTGTACGATACTTCACAAGCCCACGCTTACTATTATTAACACTGTAATTATTATTATTATTGTTATTATTATTATTATTATTATTATTATTATTATAGACAGGGTTTCTTTAATCCTGGCTGTCCTAGAACTCACCTTGTAGACCAGGCTGGCCTCAAACTCAGCACTCTGCCTGTCTCTGCCTCCTGAGTACTGGGATCAAAGTTGTGCTCCACCTCACATGGCTTTAGAAAACCCACACTTCTTTGGCTACTTGTGTGCAGGCATCCCTGTCCATCTTTGGAAAGGAAGTGTTGTTGACCCGTAATTAGCCTAAGGAGCAAACATCCAAGTCCTATGGAAAAGACTAGACTCCTGTTTCTTTCGAGGCCTGATGGTGGTACTTTGTTCTTTCAGCTACCGCCTGTGTGACCCTTCCGTGAAGAATCTGTACCAGACGTCCCCACTGTTTGGGATGTATTTCTCAGTGGAAAGAATTGGAAGCCTGAGAGTCGGTGACCCTGTGTATCGGATGGTGGATTAATGGATCCAGTGGGGTGACCTGGTAAGTTTCATTTTGCTTCTAGAATTCTGTGTTTTGACAGCATAACCATATTTTCTTATCTTCTGATGCTTTAAAAAAATTTTAAAGTATTTTGCTGGTCTGTGGTGGCTTATGCCTTTAATCCCACCAACTTGGGAGGGAGAGGCAGGTGGATCTCTGAGTTCAGGGTCATCCTGGTCTACAGAGGGAGTTCTAGGACAGCCAAGGCTACACAGAGAAACCCTGTCTTGAAAAACGAAATATATGTTTTGAATATTTCATTATTTTCTGTGTATGGATGTTTTGCCTGCATGTACGCCTGTGCCCCTATGCGTGTGGTACCCGAGGAAGCCAGAAGCAGAAACTCCTGGAACTGGACTTACAGATGACAGTGAGCTGCCACATGAATGCTGGGAATCGAACCTCTGTCCTCTAGAAGAGCAGCAAGTGCTCTTAACCACTGAACCAGCTCATTCAGATGCTTTAAAAGAAATTCTATGCTGTTTTAATTCTTGGGAAAATGAGCAGTTCGGGAATCATGAAAATTCTACCCCTTTCTCCCTCCATTTGTTCAATAATCAGTATGCTTCTTCTACCTAGTCTTCCCCATTCCTGCTTCCCATTTGGTCATAAAATACCAATGGGCCTGCTCTGCCAGACTGGCAGGGGTGCCCCTGGTTCCTTTGGGGAGCATCATTAAAGGAATAAGGAGCCAGATGTGGTGGCACACGCCTTCAATCCCAGCACTCTGGAGGCAGAGGCAGGCAGATCTCTTGAGTTCGAGGCCAGCCTAGTTTACAAAGACAGCCAAGGGTACACAGAGAAACCCTGTGTTGAAAAAAACAAAACATTATTGACAACAAAAAGGGAAGAAGTAATGAAGGCAAATGATCCTCTAGGGTTAGATACAC